ATCATGGTAACGTCTTTGGCGCCCGCGCAAAGCTGGGGGTGACTGGCGAAACCAATGTTGAAGTTAGGGTTCTCTGTTGCGTTGAGGTTTAAGTTAAAGTTAGCAAGGAAGTTGCCGCCATTCAAAGCGACACCGTTACCTACATTAGCAGCAGGAAGCAACTGAGCGTTAGTTCTGTTCACAAACTTATTCGGATTAGGTGCACCAGTTCCAGTGTCGCGGTACCAGAAAGCACTCGTGGCGGTGCTCCTGGACGAATCATCCGAATCAGTTACAAGCTGCATGATCGTGTTGACAGTTGAAGCATACTGACTTATTTCTTCAACGGTCTTGTTGTTAACCTGGATCTGGACCAGCTTTTATGTGAAGCCATAAAAGCTGGTCAGCGTTCTCAGTGTCGATATTGATATTCTTATTATCGAAATTTGGATCGCGGGGAAGAACTCTTTCGTACTGCAGACGCTCAACAGACCGGTCAACGGGGGTCTCGTCAAAGAGTCGAAGTGCTGGGAATATCATGTCCGTAGCCATTGTTATGATAGTTTGTACTTCGTACAGTATATATATATTATAAAAAAATTGCGTCTGCCGATCATCTGACTGATGTAGTTTAATTATTATTTCTAATATTTAGTCTGATGTGATATTTAGGCATACATCATGCCGTTACCTGACACGAGGTTGCTTAGAATACCTAAGTCTCGAGAAGTCAGCTGTTGCTTAGCAAGGCTTTCAGCGCGCAATACTAGAGCTTTTCTAGCTTCAGAAGTCCCAACCAGCTCATTAAGTTTAGCTCCAGCTTCTTTCGTTAAAGCAGTGCGAGTACTTTTTGCGCGCGTTTTTGCAGTACTAATACTAGCTTCAGCCCCAGCATGAGCCACTGCAAATGCACGTGATTTAGCTTTTCTTGCCACTCCTTTAACGTCTCCGCGGGCGAGATCGGCAACAAGACTGCTTACGTTTTCAGGAGAGAACTGCTCTTTTGCAGTCGATATAGCAGCCTTTTTGGCTGCTGTAGCCGTGTCACGAATTGCTTTTTTACCCGCCGCCACGGCCACATTCTTGATTTTTGGAGCAAACTTGCCTAAGCGAGATCCTAAGGCTGCAGCTGCGGACTTCCCCGCACTAAATAGCGCACCCTTTGCCTTACCAGCAAGGTCCACAGGTGTCCAATCAATGACCCCCTGACAATTTTTTGACGAACTATACCACGTCTAATCATAGGAACTATCATTTTGCCTAGTATATTCGCTTATGAGCGTGTATAATCACATTTTTGGACGGATGTTTAAAGTGTAAGTTACTTGCTCACCATTTAAATCAATCTTATTTTCTGACTGATCAGTGATTTCCATTCTCACTTTAGTAATAAGGCTAGTTTTTATGAGTGGTAAGCAGGTCGGTGGACTAGGACTTATTTCCAACAAACGTCGTGGTCCTCGGTTTGGAGTAAACGATTTAATAACATCACTAGGATTCCCGTTTACTATACATGAATTAACAAGCGAGCAGTGAATATGGATCTTCTGTACATCTGTAATGTTAATTCGATTCTGACTTAAAGTCTTTCCTCTAGTAATATCACCTCCACCCACAGCAAACCCAAGAATAGGGCCTATGCTGTTATCTATGTCAAAGGAAACTACAAGGTCACCTTTAATAGTAATCGCAGATTTTGATGTAGGAATATTTACTGAAAGCACAAAGGGTGGATCACGTCTCGCGATCTTATCTTCATGTGCGAACTTTACCCCCAATGATTGCATAGCATCTTCAATAGCTTGATTGATGTCGGGAATGTTGTAAGCGCCTGGGGTTATTGTGATTTTTTGCCGTTTAATTGGAGTCTGTTTAAGCTCTCCTCTCTGTGCACCATCAGTATCACCATAGTTTCCATTTCTAATGTCAAACTCAAGTTGATTGTTTTTAGTAGTAACATTTTCCCACGAATTCCACAAACTAGCTTCAGTAAGAGCCACTTGATATTTTTTGTTAGCCTCTAAAAGTATAGGTGGCCTAAAGCCAATTTGAAAGTCATTCGCTTCTCCACCGTGCGCCGCAATGGCTCTTGTTGAGTCTATCTCAATGCTGATTTCGTCTTCTAATACTCCAGCCATTATGGTTACATTGATAACACTAAACGTAACTCAGACTAAGCAATAGCTCTGTATAATATATAAGGAGAAATTTTAACGCATGTATGCATTTCTAATTTTTCGGTAATAACTTTTCGATATCGCACTTTCGTCTAGCAGTTTTGTTAGAATCGCTTCAATATCGTTCTTCAACTCACGAGAGTCATTACCAGCCTCTACAGACTTGCAGGGAAGGTGAAGGCGGTTGATAAGCTCTGATGGGCTATTATAATAGTGCACTCCAGTTCCTGTTTTTTTAAGGAGTTGTTTGGGGCGACTTCTTTTTTCTTTTTGAACCTTGTAACGTTCGAAGTTTTTTTACCTAGCTCTTCGGTTAGCTGGAGAAGCGGTTTTTCTTATAGACGAGCCGATAGATTTTCCAAGATTTTCAAAATCTACGTCGTTCATATACTCACCAGCCTCCAACCGATCAAGCAACTTTGAATTCTCAATAGTCTTCCAAGATGGTTTGTCTTTTGTTAACAGGACTAGATCATCTAGCCGTTGGGCAAGCTGCTGTTGAGTGTTCTCAACCGCTTGAGTGACTTCTTGCAACCCTTCAATTGCTTCGTCTTGTTTTTTGTTAATAGCTTCTGCTGCAGATTTTTCAGCATTTACAATTGGTTCATACGCCCTTTCAAAGAATTCTCCTTCGTGCTGTCGAGACACTATGAAATCGACTCGGCGCCGCTTGAGTTCCGCGCGATTTTTTACAAACTCTTGGACTAATTTTTCGCGCTCTTCCATAGATGCAACTGACCTGAACATACTTGAACTTCAATCTCAAGGTAGATGAAGATAGATAAATTTTTTTTTATCTTACTATATTATAGAACAAAAAAATGGACGACCCATATGGTGTAATGAAAAATTATAATCTACCTGAAATACAGTCGGTGCTAGCATCTATTGATTCACAATCTCAAGATAATAAACCACGTTTTACCCTGCCAGCGCCTGTTATTAATACAGAGGAATCGGATGAAGAGTCACGTGGTACAAAAAAATCGCCTATAGAACCTCGCGAGAAGTCACGTGACTCATTTTTATAAGGTAAAAACGTATATGTATAAAATCTGCTCTAAGCACAAAATTCCATTCAACGTAATTCAATTGAACCATGTAATCTGTATGGCGGCTGATATGTCTTGGTCTACTGGAGTGCCTTTAAATTACCCTTCTTTCATAGCAAATTTCGTTCCGATTTGTCAAAAATACGACGCCTCGGGTTGGCCTGCTGAAACCGTCGAAGCTATAATGCAGGCGGTTACTCCTCATCTTCCAAAATATAAAAGAGCCAACAAGAATAAGTTTAATGATGTCTTCAAAGAATGAATTACCGCTTCGGGACTACCAGAATTCCGTCAAAACGCTTCCGATAGCGAAAGGAACCTTCTCTGCAGTAGGATCGATTATAAAGTAGTCGTACTTATTTTCAGTGGCTTCATGGTAAGCCGCCGCTAGCTGCTCTTTTGTAATACCATCAGCGTGGTCAGCTGCGATTTCTCTGACGTCGAGCTGGTCAAGACCTCTCATAAGCACAATACAGCCGGTATTTCGTCGAATATACTTGTCGAACTACTATATATGTCGACTTGCTGAGAAATACTCTTTGATTGGGTTTAAGCTTTTTGAATCCAGCCGAATATCGTCAAAGACTACTGTCTCGGGATTAGTGTCCAACTCCTCTACTGGCATTACATCATCAGGCTCTCTTAATTCAACACATTCTTCCAGGCAGATGCTTTCGTAGAACTCTGATAGAATGTGATATTTTTCCTGGTCGCGACTTGTTGTGTAAATAGTTAATTTAGGGAAATCAAGCCAACGCATAATCATGTTAATTAAAAGGTTCGTTTTACCGGAATTAGTAGGGCCTACGATTAGATAATGGCTTTCGGGCATCATCCAATGGTGGCGCCTTGATTTTTTAGCGGTCGGTGGGTCGAAATTTATGAGCGCCATATAACATCACATCAGACAAACAGACCAATTTTTCTGCATCTATATATAGTACTGCCATATAATGGCAACTGCAAGCGCACCTCCAGTCGAGCCAGTAGACGTTCCTAGGCCAAAACCACGGATATATCCGGATTTAAAACGTGAATATGAATACCAAGAGGTAGAAGACGTTCTTTCACCCCGTTCATCAATCGAAACGAGCAACTTTCGCATTTCAAGCATTGAGGCAGAGCTCCGCCAAGAGCGTGACGCTCGTCATAAGCTGCGTAAGAAATACACGCGCATTATTTCGACACTCGACACCTTATCTGCTGCATCGAGTGCCTTTACAGTCGTGACAGGAACTGGAGGTATTACTCTCACTCTATCTGGTGTGGGCGCCCCGGCTGAGGCCGCTCTTGAAGCTCTTGCTGTCGCTGGCGGGTTGATCTCAGGTGTTGGGCGTGTTGTTTGTAAAAAGCTCGAGAAAAAGGCTAAAAAGCACGACCGCATAGCCCAAGCTGCTGCGACGATTCTGATGACTGTTGGTGATATTACGTCACGTGCTCTCAGTGACAGCCGAGTCTCACATGAAGAGTTTGAACAGGTTCTAGATCAAATACGGCGTTTTAACGAGCGTATACGCGTTATCCAAGATGAATTCGACGCTCCGATGCGTAAGAAACAGGCTGCCGACGTAGCTTCGCTATTCAAAGAGATGGAAAAGACAAATAAGAACTTAGAGCTTGAAAAAGAAGAAGCTGTTGCCGCAGCTGCTGAAAGCGCACGCTGTGAAGGTGAAGCTCAAGCTTTTATAAAATCGCGGCTCTGGCTGGAGGCTTGTCATAGATATCTCTCGCGGTCAAATATAAATCCAGTAAATATAAAAAATTTTTCTATTATATATAATAGGTTTATAAACGTCGCATCAAACTAATGGCAACTTTAGTAATCGGTGGAACTGATGATGGTTATGGATCTGGAAAACCAGGACCACCAGGGCCTAGAGGCCCAAGAGGAGCTAAGAGAGATAAAGGTGACACAGGAGCTGCGGGGGCTCAAGGAGATACGGGTCCTAGAGGACCAAAGGGAGAGAAAGGTGATACAGGAGCTACAGGGGCTCAAGGAGATACGGGTCTTAAAGGACCAAAAGGAGAGAAAGGTGATGAGGGTCCTAGAGAAGATGACGGAACTGATGGGACCAATGAAAGCGATGGTGCGCCCGGGGCCACAGGAGCTCAAGGGCCTAAAGGAGATACTGGAGCCGCAGGGCCTCAGGGGCAACAAGGCATTAGAGGTCCAACAGGTCCTAGAGGTCATCAAGGGCCTAAAGGAGATACTGGAGTCACGGGGCCTCAGGGGCCTAAAGGAGATAATGGAGCCACAGGGCCTCAAGGGCCTAAAGGAGATACTAGAGCCACAGGGCCTAAAGGAGATACTTGAGCCACAGGGCCTAAAGAAGATACTGGAGCCACAGGGCCTCAGGGGCCTTCAGGACGTCAAGGACCTCAAGGACAACCAGGAGCTGATGGGCTTAAAGGAGACCAAGGAGATCAACCTGTTTTAAACTCTCCTAATGGATTTTACCCCCCAGACATGAGCGGAGTAAATGTAACTTTAGTAACGTTTCCTACTGGAAAAACACTCGAAAATAATAAAATAGCATTATTAAACATTTGGTTTGAACGGTCTCAACACGAGTGGTTTAATATTAGAACCACCGTATTTCAACGAAAGTGGGGACCCTATGTTAGTTTCGTACATGAGACCACTAACAAATTGATCATATGTTAGTACAATACCCCCTAACTGGACGCGAAGATATGAGGTACACTATTTAGAGTATTCTTAATTCTAAATCAATAAATTTTTATAGTTTATATAGACTTACAATGTCTAACGCAGCTGAAACTCAGGTTCATGAATTTGAATCAACAAACGATCTCTTTCGCCGAGCAGTAGAAGTATACTCACGACAAAATAGAGAGAAAAATTTTGAAAAATTCCAACTAGAATATAATTCTAGTGCTGAAAAAATAGTCATATCTTCTTGGAACTATTCAGACGTAGATAAACCTACGCGTGAGGCTCTCAAAGTTTTGCTACGTCCGGTAAAAAGACACCACGTCCGTAGTGTAAAACATCATAGAAGACGTGAAAAACATAAAAAGCGACTAGAAATTCCAGTAGATGTGTACACTCAAGTTGGTACTTCAGTCACTGGAAAAAGAGATTCAGATTGGACCAATGTCGCGATGTGTGAAAAAGGTGAAGAAGATTCTTCTACAATCACCATCGAAACCGCTGGATTCTACCGAATATCACTAAGTGGAAAATGTTTTACAAGTGCAGGTGCGCTACAAGTACTTCAATCTCCTAGCAAATTACTTGTTTAAGTAAAACAAAAACATATCGTATTGGTGATATTAACTCTGAATGTAGCTATAGCGATTTTATAGATGTAGATTTACCTGCTGATGCAACATTAGTTGTTCAACAGATGAGAACTGCTAAAGTAATTATCACACTCACTATAGAAAGTATAATACCCGAATCTTCAACGGTTATTTGATGAAGATTTGCTACACGAAGCGCTATACGAGTCCGAATGCTTACCTTCATTATCTAGAACTGAATAAGAACACTTCACGTTTGGCAAAGGGGGTGAACCGGCCGCCGGAGGCGTCGGAGTTTTAGTTTTTGGAGGAATTGCACTTAGAAACTGAAGTGCGTTATAGCGTATTAACGCTGGGTCGCTCATATTTCCACACGCAGCTTCCCAACCTACAGAATTTGTTATAACAGGTGGTCTACTTTTTATTACGTCATTAGGCTTAATAGGTCTACGATTACGGGGTGCCGAAGGAGGTTCAGGTGGAACTATATTAGTACGCTTTCTTGATGTAGATGCTAGTAGTTGAAAAGCTTCAAGGAATGAGTTTAGAGCTCTTCCACTTATAACACCCTGTTTATTTAGTAGCAGAATCTCTCTAACAGTGTCCATCTCGATTCTATATACTATATAAATATTATTCTTCTAGTTGTATCGTACCTGTCTGTATTAGCAGCCTGGTTTGTAATTTAAGATGTTCTTCTCTTTGTCTTATTGTTATATTATTCAATTTTTTCTCTCTTTCTCTTCTTTCTTTTTGCTCTTGTCTTTTCATACGGACTCTTTTGGATTCACTATTCATCTTACCACGTACCCTACTATACGCTACTTCTAAATAATAATCACATCAGAACTAATAGACCCCGACGGCCGGCAGCGCGGGCGCGGGGGATGGGCCGGCCGTCATTGGCTCCTGTCGTTGTCCTGGGCTTGACATTCGCTGTAATTATGCTAGCATACGTACGTGAACTAGGGCCGGGGCGCTTAGATTTGTGTACACTCCTTCTCAAACTGTGAGGTGCGCCTCGTGAGCCCGAGCAAATGTTTTTCGCTAGCTACGCCACTGTATATAAAAGTAAAATATATGTGCTTCTACATCTCAAAATCAATAATGCCAATGTGTTCATCTCACCTCTAATAAAATCATAATAAAATAATCATAATAAAATAAAATAATTAAATCACATCATTACCCAATCAATGACCTATTAGTAAACTTTACGCGGGAAAGTTATCACTCGTTAACAAAACCCAATGGCTTATACAGTTTGATGCTTCACATCTGCATCAAGTCATCATCAATCTCAGTACAAATGTCTACATAGACACAACGTTTATGGTCTTCCCATTTTATATGTTTGTGAATTGACATTTCATTATAGTCCGTGATCTGTGACCGATTTTCTTTCATTCCCGTTGGACACCTCAAGGAAGGTCGTGAAAAATTCAAGACAGAACGACTTTTACATGCTGAACGCAGTTTTACTTCTTGTCATCTCCAAAAAGCTGCAGTTTTATTGCTATATTACATTAAAATTTTAAAATTTGTAGCTCATTACAATTTCGGAATCCGCCATTTTCCCAAGGAAACTTCATGTTATTTATATTTTGTGTGCTAGTGCCAGACCTAATAGAGAGCTATTCCGCACGATAATACTGGCAACATAAATAAAATGTCTGAAAGAAATACATATTTCACTCGTGCATTAGGTTGGATTTTAGCAATTGTTGCGAAGATAATATTTTGAAAGTTATAATCGTATTGTGCAAGACAAGGCGCGCTTTTTTTAAAGGTCTGTCTCGAATTCGTCGTCAATGTCATCATCTAAAAACTCCTCTTCCTCAACATCATTGTCGTTATCAATATCTACATTCGTGCATGCAGTACACGACCATACATTTGTGTACTTCACTCCGGCTTTGTTACATGAACAACGTTGGGAGTTACAGCCACGTTGCAGCCAGTCTTACAACCACAATGAACGTTATCAAGTAGGGAATTCGGCGCTAGGGGAATGGTCATCCATACGATTTCAGACTTGCAGTTTCCCGTCACTCGTTTGCCTCCCATTTTCATCCGGAGGAGTAATATCCATTTGTAGTTGTAAACAGAAAGGCCAAAGCGCGGCTTGGTACAAAAATGTAAGTTCCATAAACTTCCATTGCTAATCAAGAGTTAGTGTAAATATTGCTAAAGTCATTCTTATTGCATTCTGTAGACAACTGAGAGGTATTTTTTTAAAAGAAGTTAAAAATCTCAGTTAAGAAGCATAAAATCTCAAAACACCAAGCTAGAACTCAACATTATATGATTCTTAGAACAAACTTAGCTACTATTTGTTTACAATATGTCAGAAGTGGTAAACTTTTGTATTTTTCAACAATCTCTTTCATAGGTTGTGATGATTGTTAATCTTCAGTTAAGGCTTTATGCTCAAGATCATGTTTTACAATTCAAGAAAGAATATTTTTCAGTGAGCCATTTCAGAAGCCAGAAAGCTGGGGTTTTTTGCTTGGGTTGAAACTTGTTTTATTGTAAATTTGATTAGCGAGGACTTTCATAGATAAAAGTTGTCTTTGTCATACCATGAAAAGGAGAGTGAAAGAGTTCTGGCACATTGATTGAAAAAGTGATCCTGTATATATATTTCTCAACAAGAAATGTAGTTATGATTCTGATCTATACATACTAATTTACTCTGTTGTCCTTTGATAAAAGTTTATAATGTTGATTTAAAATAAAGAATATCTGAATTATTTTTGAAGTCATTCTTTATATAATCAATGCATGGAAACAGCAACTAAAGATGGTTTTGGGACATTGGTATGTAATGGAGACAAGATCCTCTGTTAGAAGTAAGTGAGCAAGCACTTTAATGCTTAGTGTAGGTTCTACAAAACCAAAAAATGTTGTCCTTCTATATTTAAAAAGAGAAATTTTAGAGTTCTACTCTTCCAAAGTAAAGAATGGACTTCACTTATCCTATGTGGAGTGACCTTGTAGAAAGAGTGGTCAAAACATTGAATCAAAGTAATTCTTGTGTTTAGTGAGTCTAATAGCCTGATAGCAATACTTTTAAAACTTTATTTTTGCTCTTGCATCACTTAAAGCAGGTTAATCAGAAAAGCATGTACTTTATGGAATCTGTAACATAGCTGTAAGCTGCTAAATGTTTGTTCTACAATTTTTACATTTATCTTAGGCCTTTGCATAATGATGTGCCTCTTTAAAAGCTTATTAACAAAAAATTCTTTAGTGGTAATGATCAATTTCTTACCAAGCTTTAGTGTTTAAGGAAAAATTTATGGAAAGATGCGTTGCTATCCTTCGAAAAGTGAAGTTGCGCACGATTTAACCATGAGTTCTTAAACTGACAAGATTTAGGTCTAAAACAGGCTTCTCCTATGTTGGTACATAAGTGCAAAGGTGACAGTTTAGGTTTGCTTCCAAAATTTTCGATAGAATTCTTCATTTAAAACTTACATTTTACTTGGACTTTATTAAGAGTCTCGCCTTTTTGCCACCTTTCAAGATGGCGCCCGTTAATAAATTTGCCTCACCATGACAACGGCAGTTAGATCAAAGAGTTCCGCACCAAAAAAATGGCGACATAATGGCGACATTCAAAATTGAAGGAGCGAGGAATTTTGAAATTCAACCGCGAAATACTAAAAAACTGCAGCTTTTTAGAAGTGACAATAAAAAGAATATCAAACAGCAAGTGACTTTCTATCTATTTTGAAAATTTTGCGACCTTCCTTGAGGTGTCCAACGAAACTCATGTTTAAAGCATATTTTTTAGGCACAGATCACGGACTATTAAGCATCAAAACACACACAACCTTCTTGCCATCTTTCTTTGGTTCATGAACTTTAACTTCAAAGCATTCAAGGCACCCTTAGTGAATCCATTGTCTCCATCCATAGAATTTGACCACGATCAAATTAAATAACTCTGGATAGGGCAGACAATAAATCAATTATCTTTACAGCATTATCATTTTTTAAGACTGCTTGGTCAATAACATCTTCCAGTCATCTTTACTCCTTGATCTTCCCTGTATGTCGTCAGCAAATAGAACATAACAAGCTCTGCTCCAAATCATGGGTACTGTTTGGGCTGATCATTTCTTTTTGATACTTACTCACAGAGCAAAATGTGTGCAGGGTCTTTTTTGCTTTAGGGAAACTATTTTGCAAATTGATGGGTAAATTTACGATTTCATGCATTAACAAATGACAGAAAAGTATGCTGAGTTATATAAACAAAAACAGGAAAACATCAGTATATTTGGCGTTCAAGTCAGTCTTAAATATGTATTTTATGGCTTTTCAAGTGCATGTATAATTGCTTTTCAATCGTTGACGGACTAACAAAACAAGCAACTATCTCACCTGTGAGAAGCGATGTGTTCCTTTTTGTGGAAACTACGACATCCAACAATTGAACGATTGAAGTGTTGGCATTATAAAAGAAATGCCAAAAAAGATATCGTCACAGAATATGAAACCAACGATATCCATATTCTGTGATATCGTGTTTGTTTTTGAAAAATTCTTTATAATTTACTATAGACACCAGGGGGAGGTCGAGTATATTATTTTTCTGCAAAGCGATCATTTCAGCGGAAATACGTCCGTTGGCCGCCATTTTTCGGCGTCCTCGCCCCAGTACAGTTAGCCGCTCCAGTTATTATAGAACTCAATGTCACAGAATATGTGTCAATGTGCTACACTGGCCATCATAACACAAAATGTAAACGACGACAAACCTTGTGTGTTTACGAAAAGAAATCAAGTTCATACAGCTATGGGGATCTTGGAAGAAGGAAATTGTTCTATGAATAATGGCGATTATAAAACGGCTATTGAACATTACAATATTTGTGTAAAAGTTGCAGACGAGAACAGCATCAAAATGATGGCATTATTTGGTCTTGGTAATGCTTACACACTCTCTGATAATTGGAAGGAAGGATTGAACAGTTTTAATCATTGCTTAAAGTTTTCGTCTAAAGTTGAAAGTGAATATTTTGAACATCAAGTATACCTTGGCCTGGGAAGTGTTCATTCTACCATTGAAAGATTGGAGGACGCAATGAAGAAAGATGAAATGGAATGTCTCTGCCATATTGCATTGGGAGGATTGAATAAGTTGCTTGAAAATTATGAGCAATCTTTGGAGCATTATAGAAAAGGATTTTCTCTTATTGAATATCAACAGCAACGACATGAACAGCACCATCGACCACAACGACAAAGAAAAGTTGGTGGTATCAACGTTAGTAAAGATTTCGTCATACATAGATGGAAGAACTTTTCAATTGTTACTTCAGCTGGAATTGTCAGTGGAGTGTTGGCTGTTTTATGGGAATTAGCAGAATTATTTGATAAACTTGAGCAATATAGGGAAGCAGCAGAAATTTATGAAATGTATCTGGGGATTGTCACAGAAGATGAAGATATAGAAAAACAAATGAACGTCATGGAGCGTCTGGTGCAAATATACAAAGAAGAAGAGCGTTATTACTTAAGAAATTCAATGGAAGCCAAGTTACAAGAAATCATTAAGAAAAAGAACGAAAAAGGTAGAGAGTTTACACTAATGAGAAAGCTTTTTAGTAATCTGTTCGTTGATTGTTTCCGTTTTACTTAACCTCAATTTTATACTTTTATCATTTTAAAACTTTTAACAAACTGTACAGTCGCTATCCAATTTCTCATTGTAATAGTCTATCTTTAACTACTTTTATGTATTTTATTATCCCCATTCATTTCTAAATTTAATTTTTTTCCTTCAATTTCAGAAATGCAACTACAAGAATGGAAATTTAATGATCCATCAATAAAACACAAAGAATTATTTTTAAAAATGATTGAGTATAGGCGTAATCCTAATGTAAAGGTTGAACTTTTAAACGATGTTCAAGTAATTTTCTCTGATGAATTTTGCATTGGCAAAGGAAGTGATGGAACCCGTGTTTATCTTGGACTGAGCAAGGATGGTTATGGGAAAGCTGTGAAACGAATACTCAATTACAACTTTATCATTGAGAAAGAAAGGAAAATTTTTGATGAAATTAAAGAAAAGAAGTCAAATTATGTGGTGAATTATTCCTACTTCGAAAAAGACACTGAAACAGATTGGGTCTGTTTGATACTCGACCTATGTGAAGAATCGCTGGAGAATTTTGTAAAATCCTCTACTTTGGAGAATCTTCAAAATTCTCTTCCCAAAATTCTCAGACACATTTTATTAGGATTAGTTGATCTTCATAGTGGTGAACATCCTATTGTTCACCGAGATTTGAAACCTTCCAATGTTCTCCGCAATGCACAAGGCAAATTTCTGATAGCTGACTTTGGTTTAAGCCGAATAATGGAGAATGGCCTTCCAACACATAAAAGCGATGCTAATAGGGGAACTCAGTACTGGATTGCACCTGAATCTTACATTGTAGATCAAAAGTCAAGGGGTAAAGCACGCTACAAAAGAGAATCTGATGTGATGGTAGGTGCAGATGTGTACCCATATGCATGGTACATTTCAATTTATTTTTAATATTTTTTCGTGCTGTTTACATTTTAATTGTTTTTAGAATGCAGGAATGGTGGCTTATTATGTTGCAACAAAAGGGAAACATCCTTTTGGACCTCCAGTGTATAGACTGAAAAACTTGCTAGAGGGAAATGCTGTTGGATTGATGGAAATTGATGATGTTGTACTTAAGGATCTTCTTTCATGGATGCTACAACATTCACCAGAAGACAGGCCATCTGCCAAAATGGCATTAAAACACCCTTATCTACAATCCGATGAAGAGAAGTTTAGCATGCTATGTGATATGGGGAATCAATTGGAAATGAAACAATCACAAGGTCAAAGTTCTCCAAATTCAGATGTTGTTGCGCAATTGTATGCTCCCATGGAATGGATGACGCGTATCGATGATGAAGTCTTGAAAGATTTCACAACTTTTAAAAAGAATGGCAAAGAGATAACTCTGACTTACGAGCCTACATGGGCAAGGTGTTTAAGATTTATAAGAAACTTGAATCAGCATTGGAACGATAAACCTCATACACATCTGTTGCGTTATATCAAGGAAGGCAACTATATAGACTATTTCTTACAATGTTTTCCTGAACTGCCTCTTCTGGTGCACAAAATCATAAGGTCGACTGACTGGAAAACAAGACCTGATGTCAAGAAACATTTTACGAGTAAGTAAAATGATTTTTTTCCTCGATGTTGTAGCTAATTAATGGTTCCATGACACTATAATGTCCAAACTTAATTGTCATTTTCACCGTAATCGTACATTCGTTTCCTAGGATGTACTATTTTGATGTTGATTTCTGGTAATGATTATTTTAGTACTAAAGTCTTCAATTATCCTCTTACAACTCTCAACTGCTTTTAGTTTTATGTATTTTATGCATGCTGTCAAGACGTTTACTATTTCATTATTTTTCATTTGGGGTAAAGTTGGTCTTTTTGGCAGCCTTATAACATTTCTTTATTTCAAATTGCCCTTGCAACCATGCATTTTTAGATGCCAAGTTGGTTGAACAACCTGAAGAAATCAATGGAACGAAAAGTGAAGACATAAATGACGATATGGATCTTGACGGTAAATATAATTCTTGCTTTGTCACTCTTAGATCATAAATCTTAGGCTTGTAGGAGAGTAAGGATTAAACATAAGCAAATTGATGTGGTAAGACGAAAAGAAGAGCTGATGTGTTTGTCTGAAAGGATATGGTTATATATTTGTTCATTGAAATAGGAAAATCCATTAAGCTCCAAAAAGCAGTTTTATTTTCGATGATTTGGCTGAATGATGGTTCCGTGACAATATGCAAGAGATGCCTCCAAGCTTAAAAAATTTTTCTATGAAGTAAAATTTTTTATGGGTATATAAATGCTCTTCATTATTTCTCTCAATTCCATTCAACTTTAGTTGTGTACATTGTGTTTTAGATTTATATCTGAGAAAGTTAAATATTTTGTTTGTGTATTTCTCATTCGAAAGTAGTTTTGTCTTTCTGGCTGCAATTTGAGTTTGCTTGAATTAAAATAGTTTCCTTTTGTATCGACTCTAAAGTCTTTAATCTTTTCGATGAACGATACTACAACTCTGCATGGTTAGCTTGTGCAGAGTTTTTAATAAGCTTTCAGAAGCATTGGCACGATAAGCCTCCTACACAACTGCTTCAAAGCAATGGCAACTATGAAGAGTATTTCCTGCATGTTTTCCCTGAGCTTCCTCTACTTGTACATAGTATCATGAGGTTAATTGAAGGGAAATCAATTCTAGATCTCGAAGAACATTTAACCAGTAAGTTACTTTCAAAGAAATACTTTTTACCACAGTTATTTTACCAGAAATAAAAATGTACAATATCATATCACGGGGATTGGAATTTGGAAATGATGGATGAAATGGACAATACGAAATCCTTTCTGAAAATATTAGATCAAAAATTTGAGCCATGCATTATACTTCCCTTGAAGTTTAAAATTGATGATTTCTTTTTTCGTGCACGGTCTCTTATCTGTGGTCTAATTTCACTAATAAAAAGTGAATACATAACAGATTGTTAGATAGGCGAGCATCGAATTGCTTATAAAGACTTAGAGTCGACAGTAAAAGTTGAGATTTGAAATAAATTTGTTCTGTTGTATTTGTCACTTGATTATATAGCTGTAGACCTGATAAACATGTTTATCACGTTTTTTACACTCAAAAGCAACAAACACTGGGTGTCATTATATACGGCTTTATTTCACAAAAAAATGTTATGGTATCTGCTTATACCGTTATACTGCTGTCCAATCAATTGCATAAATCAGAAATATATGATAAATAATTTGCCACCATCCGAATTTTGTGTATGATGGAAACTTTCAACTACTCCCAATTGATTGAATGTTTTCATCATTAATCTCTAAATTTATTTTACATAATTTAAGATATGCAGTTGCAAGAATGGAAACACATTGATGAATCAACAAAGCACAAAAAATTGTTGTTAAAGCTAATTAATTGTGGGCAGCACCCTGATAACAAGGTTGAAAATGTGAACAATGTACTGGTAATTTTCTCAGACGAATTTTGCATTGGCAAAGGAAACGATGGAACCCGTGTTTATGTTGGACTAGGAAAGGATGGTTATGGAAAAGCAGTGAAACGAATTCGTCGAGATAGCTGCATAAAAATAGCAGAGAATGAAAAGGAAATTTTGAATGAGGGAAACGCAAAGTACTCGCAATATGTTGTGAATTATTCCTACTACGAAGAAAATCTTGGAACAGAACATGTCTATTTGATACTTGACCTATGTGAAGAATCGCTGGAGAATTTTGTAAAATCTTCTACTTTGGAGGATCTTCAAAAGTCTCTTCCCGAAATTCTCAAGCAAATTTTAAAAGGATTAGCTGATCTTCATAGCGAACCAAATCCTATTCTTCATCGTGATTTAAAACCATCTAATGTTCTTCGAGATGCACAAGGACAATATCTGATAGCTGACTTTGGTATTAGTCGTATATTGAAAAACGGCCTTAAGACACATGTAAGTAATGCTACTAAGGGAACTCACTATTGGATTGCTCCTGAATCGTACGATGTTGATGAAGAGTCATTTGATAAAGCACGATACAAACCAGAGTCTGATGTAATGGTGGGTGTAAAAATATAACCATTTGCAAATTACTTCCAAATTTTTTGAGAAATCTTTTGTTGACACTGTTATGTTTTCATATATTTTAGAATGCGGGAATGGTGGCTTATTTTGTTGCAACAAAAGGGAAACATCTATTTGGACCTCCAGAGTATAGACTGAAAAACTTGTTAAATGGAAACCCTGTTGGCTTAAAGGAAATCAAGGATGCTTCACTTGAAGATCTTCTATCATGGATGCTACAACGACAACCAGGAGACAGGCCATCAGCTGAAGAAGCGCTAAAACACCCTTATCTATTATCCCTTGAAAAGAAATTTAGCATGCTATGTGATATGGGAAACCAACCGGAAATAAAACAGTCACAAGGTCAAAGTTCTCCAAATTCAGATGTTATTGCGCAATTATATTCTCCCATAGAATGGATGACGCGTATCGATGATGAAGTCTTGAAAGATTTCACAACCTTTAAAAAGAATGGCAAAGACATAACTCTGACTTACGAGCCTACATGGGCAAGGTCTTTAAGATTTATAAGAAACGTGAATGAACATTGGAACGATAAATCTCGTACACATCTGTTGCGTTATGTCAAGGAAGGCAACTATGTAGACTATTTCTTGCAATGTTTTCCTGAACTGCCTCTTCTGGTGCACAAAATCATAAGGTCGACTGACTGGAAAACAAGACCTGATGTCAAGAAACATTTTACGAGTAAGTAAGAGCTACGAAAATGATTTTTTTCACCGATGTTGTAGCTAATTAATGGTTCCATGACACTATAATGTCCAAACTTAATTGTCATTTTCACCGTAATCGTACATTCGTTTCCTAGGATGTACTATTTTGATGTTGATTTCTGGTAATGATTATTTTAGTACTAAAGTCTTCAATTATCCTCTTACAACTCTCAACTGCTTTTAGTTTTATGTATTTTATGCATGCTGTCAAGACGTTTACTATTTCATTATTTCTTATTTGGGGTAAAGTTGGTCTTTTTGGCAACCTTATAACATTTCTTTATTTCAAATTGCCCTTGCAACCATGCGTTCTTAGATACCAAGTTGGTTGAACAACTTGAAGAAATCAATGGAACGAAAAGTGAAGACATAAATGACGATGTGGATCTTAACGGTAAATATAATTCTTGCTTTGTCACTCTTAAATCATAAATCTTAGGCTTGTAGGAGAGTAAGAATTAAACATAAGCAAAATGATGTGGTAAGAAGAAAAGAAGATCTGGTGTGTTTGTCTGAAAGGATATGGTTATATATTTAGTCATTGAATTAGGAAAATCCATTAAGCACCAAAATGCAGTTTTAGTTTCGATGATTTGGCTGAATGATGGTTCCGTCACTATATCCAAGAGATGACTCCGAGCTTAAAAATTTTTCTATGAATTAAAATTTTTTATGGGTATCGTATAAATGCTCTGCATTATTTCTCTCAATTCCATTCAACTTTAATTGTGTGCATTGTGTTTTAGACTTATATCTGAGAAAGTTAAATAATTTGTTTATATATTTCTCATTCGAAAGTAGTTTTGTCTTTCTGGCTGCAATTTGAGTTTGCTTGACTTAAAATAGTTTCATTTTGCTTCCATCTAGTAGAAATTGAAAGAGTAAATGGAAGAAAAAACAAAGAAAACCCAAGTTATGACGGTATTTGATGGCAACAAACTTATTTGTGTGTGTGGAAGGGGTCTATTGTGCATTGTTTTCGTAGATTAGTTTGAAGTGGTATGCTTTTATCATTTGTTCATTTGTTCAAAATTGTGAATAAGTCGTTTGTAGATGTTTGTAATTGTTGTGATCTGTTCAGTTTCTTAATGGGTTTTGTCATTTGTTCATTTGTTCATTGTTTTGTCATTTGTTCATTTGTTCATTTTGTCATTTTGTTCATTTGTCAATTTGTTGAAGTGGCTCGTTTTTATCATTTGTTCATTTGTTCAAAATTGTGAATAAGTCGTTTGTAGATGTTTGTAATTGTTGTGATCTGTTCAGTTTCTTAATGGGTTTTTTTCTGAGTAAATATAGCAACTTTTTAACGTGAGAAGTCTGTATTCAGTGCTGTATGTGATGAATTATGCCGAGTCCTTGCAATCAATGTTGTGATTTGTCATTCGATGATGTTCGGGAGTGTGGTTGGTGTTTTAAAACGTGTTTTAAATAGTTATTCTCGTGGTATAGAGCGTCTGTTGAATCACAAGCGAGTTGTGCACTTATTTTTAATGTTCCATTCGTGGTGGTTTTCTGTCATATAGAATTGTAACATGGTAGTCTAGCGTGTGTTGATTTGTTGTATTTACCGTAGCGTTTAGCGTTACTTACAGTACAATGGTAAACACTACAAGTAGTTACACGGAACAGCAATAGACTCACCCGTCTCTGTTGTAGTTTTTATAAAATTTTCGTGTAAACTGTAAAGGAAAGGGTACGCTCACTACCTACCAATACGTACTACTTTTTTGAGTTCTGCTTGGTAGACGATATAATCACTAAATTAGTAAACTTTTATCGTTATTTTTGTGAAAGTTGTTTTGTTAAAATTTTATTTTGTTTACTTTTTTACATATACATCGAATTTAGTATTTTTGAAAGGTGGATTGGCTATAGAAGAGGACGAAGATGTTGCTCAAAGTCAAAAGCTGGATTCTCAAGGCACATCATTCAATAGAGGTGAAAATGAAAACAGCTTGCAAAATTTTGTGTGGAATGTTGATGACATGAAAAGGTTGCGACGTTTTTTGGTGTTGGGAAGTGAAACACCCACGTTCTACATTGACGAAAGAAAGCTAGCTATAGAAAATGCGAAAGCCCTTTCTAATCTTTTGGAAGCAGGAAGGAGTGTTGAAGTTGTCAATGAAATAGAGAAGTATAGCATTGAAGGACGAACACCAAGGCAGCAGGCCATCGTGTTTTCTCTCGCTATTTGTGCCCGGAAGGGGGATCTTGCCACGAAAAGAGAAGCATACAATGCTTTACCCAGAATCTGTCGAATTCCGACTCATTTGTTTATGTTTATTGAGTTCTGCAAGTTGTTGAGTAAGCCTGGCAAAGGTTGGGGTCGTGCCCATAGGAATGCCATAAAACGTTGGTACAAAGAAAAAGATCCTTGGAAACTGGCCATGGATATCACTAAATACCAAAAGCATGAAAGATGGTCTCATAGTGATGTTGCAAGGTTAATGCATCTTAATTCAGAAGGGACTGATGTTTCTGATGAGTTGTTTGTTATAATGACGTATGTTGTTTGTGGTTGGCAGAAGCTTAATGCTTATTTTTTTCCACAAGATGAAACAACATCACGGCGTTCAATTGGAGAGAATGGCAATGCACTTTTGGAGTTTTTTAGAGCAGTTGAGGAAGTAAAAACAGTGCAAGAGGAGGCAAGAGTGGTTGAATTGATAAATCAACATAATCTTGTTCGAGAACATATTCCAACATGTTTCCTTAATTCCAAAGAGGTAAAAACATTTCATTTTTTGTGTTCTTTTTACAGTTCTCAACTTGTAATCATTTCAGTGTTTACTAACTGAAATAATTAGTTTAGCTGTGAGTTTTTTGGTTTGTCACTGGGTAATTTGCAAGCTGTTAATCTGAAATCCTTTTTGTTGCAACTCTTGTTTCTAGGTGTGGGATGCTCTCTTAAACAAAATGCCAATGACGGCAATGATACGTAACTTAAACAAAATGACTTCCATTGGCTTGCTTGCTGAAGGATCACCTCAGGTTAAAGATGTTTGTAATAAACTGTGCAACGAGAATCAGTTAAGAAGTGCACGTATCCATCCATTTAACATGTTATTGGCTTTGAAAACATATGAGTCAGGAAAGGGTAAGAATGGTTCTCTGAAATGGAAAGCCAATGTGGAAATCACCAAAGCATTGGAGAAAGCATTTTATTTATCATTCAAGGTAGACAAAATTATGTGCATTGGCAAAGGGAAGGCAATGGGGGGAAACCACTCCTCCATAATATTTTCAAGATTATAGTTTTTTTTGCACCAGGAAAAATTGTATTAAGGGCAATCCTCCTCTCCAAGAATCTTGCTGATGTACTGGACAGCATACAAAATCAGTTTTTCTCCCACAATTGTTGTCTTTGGTGTGAAATACATGACCAATACACATTATAGACCACTTAAGCTAATTTTATTGCTATGCAAGTTGTAAGTATTGTCTTTTATATGTAGTATACATGTTATGAATCACTTTGCTTTATTCTTTTCATGTACAAGTTCATGCAATGAAATTAACTGGTGTGATGTCATTTTTGGAATAACTAGCATTCTATTTTTTGTTAACTTGCATTTTTCATGTTATGTCATTTTGTACAATTTTAGAATGTTGCACCAACAGGAAAAAGTTACATGCTAGCCATGGATGTAAGTAGTTCAATGCAATTCAGTGGATATATTGGTGCAAGTAAAATGAAACCTCACATGGCTGCTGCTGCAATGGCTATGATGACAGCAAGAACAGAAGAACATCACAAATTTGTTGCATTTAGTGATGAAATAGTTCCAATGGAGATATCCAGTAACATGAATTTGAATGAAGTTTTAAAGATTTGTAATGAAGTAAGATGTATCATTGAACATTGTTTCATTCAAATACCTTCAAGCCTTGAAATTTTTTCTGTGCGTGACTATTTGCTATCATTGTAAATGATTCAACTTTGTATTTGAGTGCTCACAATTATTTTTAGGAACCCTTTTTGGAATGTGGTTTGACATAATAAGTGCTTTTAATTATGTGTGAATAATGATGAAGCTGTTTATGATAATAGTGTGTTAATGCTACAGTCTCGAAAATATGTACGTATGTATTTTGGTTTCAAATGATTTTAAATTATATTTTTTAGATTCGCAAGGGTGATAAAGACTTTGCTCAGCCCATGCTTTATGCCCTTTACAACAATTTAAAGATTGATGTCTTTATTGTTTACACAGACTCTGAATCATATTTTGGCGATGTTCTACCAAGAGAGGCTCTCGCAAAATATCGTCACCATTCAAAGATTCATGATGCTAAACTCATTGTGGTTGCCATGACATCAAATGGCGTCACTTTGGCTGACCCAGATGATCCTGATATGCTTGATATAGTTGGCTTTGACTCTACTGCACCACAGGTGATGAGAGAGTTTATCTTGGGGAATATTTAACAGTTTTTAGTAAACATTAATGTTTCTTATCCACAAATGTCCTCATGACATGACAAATTTTAATGTAGTGACCCCCATGTATGATGTATGACATGTAAATCTTAAATTTCTCAATAATTTTTTTGTAAATTTAAGTGGTTATTCTCACTATTTTAATGGAGTAGCTTGTACTTCGGTATTTATTAAAAAGTCTTCCTACTTTGAACATAACAAAACATTCACTATAATAATAAATTGAAACGATGATTGCTCGAACGAATGCTCGTTTTCTTCTTAGTGACTCGGTCGGTCAGCTCTCGTAGTCTCGGTACATTTTTGAGCGATAGAAACAAGCCCCCTTTACTAGGAAATCGCAGTGAACTCGACATTTGAATAACTGGAATGATAACCGAAGGCAAAAATTGAAGCTAAAAAAATATTTGTCGTCATCATTCCTCATTACACGTCAGGCTCTAGTCTCTCGCGTGTTCATTTTAATTTTTTTAAATCATTTGTCCCTTGGTAATGGTAGAGTTCGGAGCTTGATCAGAGCGTAAAAATAACGAAATTTTTGGAATGAAAAGGTTCACAGAAAGTGAATCAAAGTGATAAATCGAGAAGCAGGGTGAGGTGAACTTAGTCGATCTGCTCTTACGCTGCGGTTTTCCTTTAAAACATATCAAAGTCTTTAAAGTAAATGGTTTGAACCCGGGAGTATCGTTACATGTTTGTAAATGTAGATCGTCCAGGTCAAAAAAATGACTCTGAAGATGACTACCGCTAAGGTTGTCGAAACGTCAGTCAACAACAACAAAAACGATCCTTCTCAGGACTATACCAACCTGGACGCTTTACATTTACAAACATGCAAAGTCTTTAAGGATATTCAATTATTGACATCGAGATGACAACCATTAAGTATTTCAAGCACTATCAAAATCGATGAAAAATACAAACGCTCTATAAAAATTAAAAATTATAGACTCAATATTTTTTATGAAACTGGATATTCAAGTTTCTTTTTTCTTCGGAAAAACAGATCTTTAAATCCACTGAAATGACAAAAAAAGACAAACACTGTCTGACACCGTTTGAAAATTTACCTTCCGACGAAAGAAAAATTTATGCTTGAATCTTTTCTCGTCATATTTTCTATTGTATTGTCTTTTTAGCATACAGTGTAATTTTTAGTTGGCTTTTCCTCGTTACAAGTTGTAAGTTACAACGAACTCACTGTATTAAAGTTTTAGCTGTAAAAAATAACCTTTTGCGAGGAGTTGGCCTCGTGTGTTGTTTGTCGTGATGTTGTTTATATGTTTATGCTTTCACAATTTGTATTCAAATTGGTATTGGCCGTGTACAAACCGCGTAAATATTCGACTTTGAAGGACTGGAACTGACGTACAAACCGCGCAAGAGACTAGGACTTTGGCTTCAATTTTATATCTATAAAATGTATTGTCGTTATCATTCCAGATATATATATATATGGAGTTCACTGGGAAATCGTGACCACCGACCGTGACCATTGAGTTCTATAATGATCGTGACCACTGATCGTGACGTTTATTACTTCCACATTACATTACTTCACTGTTGCCATTCCCCTTTTGGTAGAACGATAATAAGGTGATTTGTTACATACGGACGGATTGACTATGGCGGACGAACCGATGGAACAGGATGACGCCGTTCCCCATAGTCAAATGGTAAATACACCTGAAAGCAGAGCGGGTGGTTTTGTACGGAATGTTGATATGAATAGGTTTCGTCGTTTTTTGGTTTTTGGATGTAAGTGGCTCAAAGCAATCCAGTGGATGTATTGGTGCAAGTTCAATAAAACCTCACATGGCTTCTGCTGCAATGGCTATGATGACAGCACGAACAGAAAAACATGAATTTGTTGCATTTAGTCATGAAATAGTTCCAATGGAGATCTCCAGTAACATGAATTTGGATGAAGTTTTAAATGTTGCTAACAATGTGAGTAAATTAAATTTATTTGAGCATAGTAACTCCAACTTTTCAAAAATATTTTTTTCTACTTTTTACATTCTTTCTAATTCAATTTCATTCCTAGTCAATCTACAATCCCCTCCAGGATTATTGTTGCATAATAATGAGACTTCATCACCTTTGAATCAGTTTGCTGAATTTGATGAAAAAATTTCCGAAGAGATTGAAAATTAATTGAAACGTATTTTATTGCACTTTCTGGCAAGATATTTCGACAACAAAGATGATTCAGTGTGAACAAAGATGAAGAATTGTGGATGTAGATATAGATTCTACTTATCATATAAATGAATTTTAATTAAGACAAATATAAAAAGTTGCAATTGTTATTTGAACTAAAAAAAATTTAAAAAATAGCATAGAATATTTTTAGTTGGAAAGAATATTAAAACTTTTAGGCATTGAGAAAAGACATTTAGCATAAATAATATATAAATAATCGTAATACTGACTGAAATGAGGTGCTTAATTATCTGTGGGTGATGATGGAGTTATTTGTTATGATAATTATATACAAATGCTGCACCATGAAAAATAGGTGTGTGTTTTATTTTCAAAAGATTTCAAGTATGTTGTGTAAGTGTCAATTTTATGTTGTATTTTTCAGATTTCAATGGGTAAAGCAGATTGTGCTCAACCCATGCTTTATGCACTTCCGTGAAGTCAAGAAATTGAAGAAAACACTAAAGGCTGAAACACACTGGGTAGTCGCTTCAGTCGCGCGTCTAAAACTACCGCTTTGCGCGGTTACTAAGCTAGTAGCGTAGTCGCGTCAGCTAGTCGCTTTGAAAGTTCAACATGTTGAACTTTTGACTTTGGTCGCTTCAGTCGCTTTACACTGATTGGCCAATGGATACATTTTAACTTCCTAAATGCATATCATATTTCCTGTCATAAGCATCATACGAAATTTATAGAATATACCTTGAAAAACGAAGGCAATATATAGTGAATTCACACTGGAATCTTTCAGTTTTTATATGACTTATCAAATAGGGACAATAGGAGCTACAAACTGGAACCCTAATGCACAACCTAAGTGCGCAGAATAAGATTATCCACAATATACGCGTAATGGGTCTATGATCATATTGGCGTGTTTTAACTGGCTTGTTCTCTTTTCTCCACATAGTAGTTTGTACTGAGTAAATATTCATATATTAGTAGCTATAATAAAGGCCAAAATAAAAGTTTAAGTGATATCTGTGTCTGTAACAAACTAAAATCACCGCCATGTTCAATAGACGCCACGGTAAAAGTCGCGATGGTCGCTGCATGTGTGTTTCTACCGTTCAAGCGACTGACGCGTGCACTAGGCCGTATTCTATGGTGGATTATTGTTCAGGTTGAGATGCAGAAATTCATGACTAAGTAAAAGCAACATAGATGTACTTATATGTACTCACTTAACATAAATCTGCCTGTTTACATCCCGAAAACTTGCAATCAAGAGAGCTAGAGCCATCAAAAATTCGACATTTATTTTCTATATCCGCCATATTGTTTTGTGTGAAATTCGCTAAATTTGCTGGCTCATATTCAAAAGAACGGTGCTAAATAATGATTAAGGTCAATCTTTCTAAGTTAATTTGAAATGATATGTTTAGCTATTAATCTTCCATAGCTGCTTGATGGACAGTGGCGTAGCTAGCGGTCCCGCTACTCCCGCCCGGCGGGAGTAGAAATTTCCCAAAAAAATAATAATATTCTATTTGGACATAAGATATACATTATTTCACGAACAATTTGTAATATTACAGACCTGCCAACCCCAAGGAATACAAAACCTTGAGATTAATGCAGAAAAACCGGGAGATCTGGCAAAAAAACTGGAGATTTCTATTCTTGTATACGACATATTTTTAGATTGATTTATTAGGCAAATGGCAATGATTACCTCAAGTGTTATGCACAAAAATTTTAACTGGCAGCCAATTTGTGTTACATAATTATACGAAAAAACAAAAATCAATGTCATGCCCAGTTCACGGCGCACTGCGGCTACAATACGTTATGTTTTGAATGCTATTCATCGAGTATTTCTTTCCATGCGATGAATAAAAATGCCAACAAACTTCTAAAATCCTAAGCTTTAAAAAAACCGGGAGATTTAGTATCTTTGTCGGGAGGTCGGGAAAAATGCAGCAAAAGCGGGAGTCTCCCGGCGAAACCGGGAGAGTTGGCAGGTCTGATATTATGTTTTATTCGTTCATATTTACGCTTTTATTAGGTGGTTCGTAATCGTAATACAGCAAAATCTCAAGATTTGTTATGTAACCTAGCAACCGCCTTTTCTCGCACATTGCATACTCGCGCGATTCTCCACGTATTCCGCCCATCTTCAGAGGGCGGAACATACAATATAATTCTATATAAGAAGTTTTGAATTCTGGCTGGCTAAGGGACTTGACGCATGCTCAAATCTGCTGTTTTTATGTCGAACTCCCGCTATTTTAAATTGGCGGAGGTTGTAATTATTCGACCTTTTAATACGAGTACAGCGATTAGTGATTATCAAATTACGTGTCATTGTCGGTATTAATTTTCCATTGTGTTTACTCTCAAATTGCTATTTTGTATTTGTGTATGACACAATGGCTTCAAGTGCGACTGCGATTTGCTCAACTGATGTTGATTTAGTAAATAGCTTATTAGCTAAACCGTTCTCTGCTCGATCGTCGGTCGAACAGAATGTTATCGTTCATGAACGGCCTACTCCTGATTTAACTATCCAAAATAAGGGAAGAGCATTTCAGAGAGATTGGTATGAGGCGAAGGACTGGCTGTGTGGCAGTACAACCTTGCAGAAAGTGTTTTGTTGGCCATGTCTAATGTTTTCCCCAAAAACATCGCCATCGTGGACTAAGAATGGCTACAACGATATGTGGAGTATTATGTCTGATGCTAAGAAGCATGAAAAATCTAAATCGCATTTGACTGCATTTAAGACATGGAAAAAGTATGGAGCTAGTGAACGAATTGATTGTCTTATGTCCCTCGCTAGAAGAAATGAGATTCAGCGTCACAATGAGGAGGTAAGACAAAATCGAAATTTTAAAAACTGTTACTGAGGCCGTGCTGTATTTGTCAAAGCAAGAGTTGCCATTTAGAGGTCACAATGAGTCCGAAGGTAGCTTGAACAAAGGTAATTATAGAGAGTTGCTCGAATGTTTTGCTAAGTTTGATTCTGTATTTGAGCGTCGACTGCACAGTAGACTTAGCAGAATCTGATATAGTTGGTGACAGAAGATTTACTGGAGTCTCCCCAGAAATTCAAAATGGTCTTATCAGCTCTCTTGATTCAATTATTGAAGATGAAATCAGAAAGGAAATAAATGATTGCACATTTATGAGTATTCAGGTTGATGAAGCATCTGATGTCTCCACCAAAGAGCAGCTAAGTGTTATTGCTCGGTTTGACAAAGCAAGTGAAATTATGGAGAGGCAATTAGGATTTGTGGATGTAAGTATGAACAGAAATGCCACAGCAATATCACAAGTTGTCAAAGATTAACTTGGTGAGTATTCTAATATAAAAGAAAAACTGGTTTTACAAACATATGACGGTGCTGTCATGTCTGGCCATATCAATGGTGTTCAAGCATTGGTTCGACAAGAGTATCCTTTTGCTCATTTTGTTCATTGTGCAGCTCATAGATTGAACCTGGTCCTATGCCAGTCAGCCTCATCAATTTCTCCTGTTAAAATCTTTTTTATTAATATAGCTACATTCAGCACATTTACAAGCAATGCCCCCAAAAGAAAAGCTTTTCTCACATCTAACAACCTTGAGTTTCCTGCCCCTGGTGAAACAAGATGGTATTATCGCTCTAGATTAATCAATATATTGCACAAAAACTATGAAAAACTTTTAGATATTTTTGAGAGGGTACTTGAACAACCAGCTGGGTGGGATGATGAGTCATTAAGTAAAATAAGTGGCTTACTGCATTATCTTGATAGCTTTCTCTTTTGTTTTCTAGTGTGTGTTTTACAGGATTTTAGAACAGTCCACAATTTTGTATTCCATTCTTCAAAATAGGAAACCCATTTTAACTATGGCATAAGCAAGATTGACAATTTCAAGCAGTTTATTGTGTCACCACAGATCAAGCTTTCACCGAGTTTTACCAAACTGCACTAGAAAAAGTAGGCCCACCAGCAACCAGAGCAGATAGTAGATACAATTACAAACAGCTTTATTTTGAGATTATTGATTCCATTAAAGGCATGTTAAGTGAACGATTTCAAGATATTAATCAGTTCGAGTTTTTAGACCTTGTAAATCCTAAACTATTTACTACATGGAAGGGCATAGTTCCACAGGAGAAGATCAATCTTCTCAAAGATAAGTATAGTCCTCTTTTTGACATCCAAACTTTGGAGAGTCAACTTTCCTTCATTTACAACGACAAGGACTTTCACAAAGAGTGCAGTAATGAGGTTCTTAAATACATCTTCAAATTTAATCTCCAGTCGAGTTTAGGTCAAGTGGTAAATTTGTTAAAATTGAATGGTGTGTTGGCAGTGGCAAGTGCTTCAGTAGAGAGGTCGTTTTCTTGCTTAAAAAGGGTAAAAAGCTATTTAAGAAATAGAATGGGTCAAGGTCGGCTTAGCTCTTTGTGTAGAATATCTATTCACAAAGATATCATTGAAAAGAAAGAGGAATCAGAGGTGTTGCATAACGAGGTGGTTGAAAAATTTGTAGAAAAACCCAGGAGGCTGGCCTTTCTTTATAAACGATGAGTATAGTATGTGTTTTGATATTTGTTCGTATAATACATGGTACTTCATTGAGAAAATTAAGCATAACTTTAAAGAATAAAGCCATCCCTGTTTACTTGCCCCAATCTAAACAAGTTTAAACTAACAAGTAGAATGCTAAGAAAAATCTCTCTCTATGCACTTTAGAAGTGTCGTATACTATATTATTTTTTGTGCTAATACAAATTTCTTCTGTTTATGCAGGGGCAGTTATGAGTAAATTATGTTTTAGGGGACAATTGTCTCCTGCGTAACGTTTCTCTGAGCCACCTTTAGTACCTTTTTAACTAGTTGCAGTTTCAACGATTGCCACATTAAGAATGCAGCTAACAAAAATTGGTTTTTATAAATTATTGTACAACAAATAATTCGCCCTCGAAATCGCAGGAAATGCTGTTTCCAAGGCTCTGGATTTCAAAATTTTCCGGGGGAGCATGCCCCCGGACCTCCCTAGTAGGGTCGCGCCTCCGGCGCGAGATGGATTGGAGGGAGTGGCTATTTTTCCTAGCTACGCCACTGTTGATGGACAAAAAGACTAAAAAATGAAAAAACAATTCTTGAAATTGAATTGCGAAGGAGTCCTTCATCTTTTTGTGGTAATAATATAACGATAATAAATTGGCACATGAGATTGCGTACTCAGAATCCTTTGGTCGCCATCTAGCTCCTGCTGTACACACTGCTGAGCAGTGCATTCTTAATAGAACATTTCATTGAAATCGTTTATGAAGTTTTCATGTGTATCGTCGGCATCATCGTAATCGCTATCATCGCACTCATCCGGCTCTTTCATTGGGCCGTCATCTTCAGAGGCGTAGTTACTGCAGTCAGAACAACCGCAAATGTCAGTGCATTGCAAACCAGACTTCACGCACGAGCATCGAAGATTCTTGCAACCAGCTTTACACTTGCATGTCACGCACTCAATAAGTGTATCTGGAGCAGATGGTCCAGTCATCCAAAGAATCTCTAAATGACCATTTTTCATATGCCATCCATGGCTCACAGGAGGTTGAACATTAATGTGCGATTGCAAACTATTCTTCCAGATGGCTGCTTGGTAGTTGGCTCTCTTAATGTGCAAAAGCAGGCTATCTGCATTCGGGGGAAGGCATTCGTCCGAACACTTGCCAGATGCAAAGAGAGTGTACCTAGGACCGAAAGAAATACAAAGCAAATGCAGAAAAGACAATAGTAGCAAAAATAAATTTTACATTTACCTTGAAGCATTAACTATCGCTGAACTCTTGTCAATAAAT